AACACAAATATAGCTTAGTACTTATAAAAACAAAAACAAATATTTACCCGGTATTATTGTATGTTGCTATCTGCCTCTCTACAGTTTCGGCACCCGTGTTCTTTTATGGCTAGCGTGCGATTTTTTTTGACGTGATTGCGGCGAAATGTTTGTATAATAATTGAAATATCGTAAAATAATCAATTATGTAAAAAATTGGACACTAAAATTTAATATAAACTAGTTGAAAGCAGAGGAAATGCCTTTTATAGATTTAATAAAGAAAAAATTTATAAATGTATTAAAAATATTTATTATAGTATAGGTTCGTCAGGATCCTAGAATCCTTGAGGCTAAAGATAAGGAGTCTAGACCGCCACTCTCCTACTGCATATCCTTTGATTTCATGCCCTTCTCGAAAATATGTAAGTAGAAAAATGACAGCCGTTGCTTGTCTTGCTGGGGATGAGCCCCAGCTACTCAACTCTGTCAGCAGGCCGAAGACGTGTTCCCTCCATTAGTGGTAGAGCCGGCGAGCTTTTGTACTTACTCTTGAATAAAACCAGTTCGGTCTTGGTAGGATTCATGAACTGGCCGTTATAAGCATCCCAGTGGCTTATCATGTTAAGATACACCTGAGTTAGCTCATACAAGATACACTGAAATTTTCCTCAAACTCTATCGGCATCCGATTTCTTCAAACTTTCCCATACGGTCTTCAATAACTAAGTTTCAGGAAATAGCGAGAGAACCTCCACACTCCTTCACGATAGTTCTATCGCAGAGAAGTTTGAAGATAAGATGCTTAAGGTGTGATTCAACCCCAAATCTGTTTCCAGTGATCGTTTCCGGCAATACATTGTTGAATGCCCGTCGATATCGAGGAAGGTCTCTCCTGTGAACTCTTTTTAGGTTTAGGAGCAGCTTAAGAATATCTTGTCTGCTCATAGTCCAGTCCTATCCTTTTTAACCTGCTTGATATACATATGTTTTACAGTGGGCGATTCCGGACAGGAAATTCGTTGGCTATAAACTTCGCCTACTACCGCAAATAATCCAACTGCTACAAAAATTAAAGCCGTCAGAAAATCGTCAGCACATTGTCACATTGCCAGCAATTCATTTCTGGTTTGAAAATAAAGAGAGGATTGAATTTTTTTCACGCTGCTCTCATAAAGTCTGCACTCACACCATTATATGTATGTTAGCTTTATTACTCATATTGAACTCGCTTTCATATCGTCTCAATGAAATGTTCAGCAAGATTAATCGATAAATATGCAAAAACAATAAAAAAAAATAAAAATGTAACAAAAATTGTTTACATAATTTTTTATCAAATATAAACAACAAAATCAGTGCGCTCGAATAAACGCATAATAAATATATGTTTGCATTGCGTAAATATAAAGTATATAAATATTGCTACTGATAAATTTACGCCTAAATACGCATACATACGTGTGCGTGCACATGGCCTAAATTAAGTGTATATCGACAATGAAGTTGTCAATAATGACACCTTGTCAGCCACTTGACCATTCTTCATTCAGATTTATACCCAGACAAATTTACATTCATGTAAATTCTTTCTCTAAATACATGTGTTGCATACTAAAAAATTTTGTTTTCAGCAAATAATTGTCGCGAATTCGATTCTACGAATAACCTGACATTTCAATGTATTACAATTATTAGCTCTTAAAAAAATAGGTATTTGTTTATATCAAATTATTCTATTTTGCTTTCCTCTTTCATTTCCATTTTGTTATGTCAAAAGTTCTGAACAATAAAATTAAATACAATTCAAGCGTGTTGGATTATAGTTCATGGTAAAGTTGTATATGCAGGTCTATTTGTGAATTACTTTTGTTTTTTATAAATATGTTATCACTAAAAATGCCAAACGCTTTCTCTGTATACCAGCTCATGCGAATTTAGTGATAATAACACTCTTGTATCAGTGAGAAAAGTAAAGTGTAGCATGCTTAATGGCACAAATATTTGCAGCCTAAAGGTATGCTTTATGTACCATCGACTTTTTAAATGACATGCTTACCCAGTAAACCGTAATTTTCTGTTTCACGTAAGCGATATCAAACGCTAAGCCTTTACCCCAAAAATATCGAACTATTCAAGAAAAATTATTTCAATATATTTTTCAACACATATAGAGTTATTCTTGAATTTTTATCAGCCAAAATTCGAGTTTTGACCAGATCAAAAAACTTATAGTTCACTTAATGGCTTATTATAAAAGGAACATTCTCTGCTTCTTATCAAATGATAATGATCCGATAATTTTGTCTGCAAGTAGGCAAATTTTAAAAAATGTAGTTTTGAGAAAAACGTTTACAAATATAAGCTGAAGCCGATTGAAGGATGTAACTGAGTTAATGATTCCAACTTGGTATGATATAGATATTCGATTTTTTTTTGTTTTTTACACACCAGGAGTATAACGGGTCGATTTCTTTTCTACAAAATCGCGTATGCGGGAAATGTTCTTCTGATCATTCTGAACAGTTTCGACCCAGCGATTTTTAAGACGATTATTATATTCCAAAACGCTGCTAAATATAATATTTTAAGGGTAGAATATAAATATTAAATAAATAAGGACATTTTAACTAAATTAGTGCGCCATGGCGTATGAGTAATATATGGTATCTGGCGTTCACATTATGTCACTGCGTATATGTGACTTATCAATGGTTAGATAATCAGGTAGACACACAGAGACGTATGTATGTGTTTCGTTATCTTTTCGTTATCATTTCAGTTCCCCAGTTGTATATATTACAAGGGCTTACTTTGTAAGTCTAATATTTGGGTGCACCACGCTAACTAGTGAAACCAATACTTTAGGAGAAGAAAATAATGTCATTTTCACTCCTAATCTTTAACGTTAATTTAACGTTTAACGTTTAACTTAATAAGGGTATCAAGTATTTATTTTTACTGTTAACGAAAGAGAGGTTATAGACTGGAATTATAGATGATATCGGCAATTTTGGATTTTTCGACTAATACTCCAGTAAATTTTTCACATAACAAATAAGAATTGTAACTTACCAGGGTTGCTTTTTGAATAGCTGTGAAGGGAATATATTAATTCATAACCGAGTACGATTTGAAATATTTTAATTTCATTAATTTTTAGTAAGCTTTTTCGAAGGTTATGCTTAAGGACAATATAGAAAGATGCTAATGATATGTCTCTAGAAGTAGTATTTATTGTATATTAATAAAAAAAAAACAACACCCCAACAACCAATGAGCAATATTTAGGATTTTAAAGGCTCTAAGATTTAAAAGCTTTTATAATATGATCATATCTGCAGTTGTGTGCTAAAATGCACGTACTTGCTGAATTTCATTCAGATAACTTAAGAATTCAACTTTTCGTTCAAACAGGCATAAAGATAGAAATCTATACGGTAATCGAAAAAGTCTTTACGTATTTTTAAACAAACCCCAACTTATTTTTTTATATTTATAATGAACTTTAATGAACCAAATATATACCATTTTGGTCGAAGACTTTTTGCCATTTCCGCTGGAGACATTATTCCATTAGTGTAAAAATTTTCTAGTTTCTCGGCGAAAAACTGCGACAAGTAATTTTCAAAGGCATCTCTTGAAGCCAACTTTACTCCATTAAGAGAGTTCTGCATTGATCGAAATAAATGGTAGCCCGATGGTGCAAAGTCTGGGCATCAAAACTTTCCATCCAAGCCCTCGCAGTTTTCCCCGAGTCATCAAAGGTGTGTGTGGTTTAGCGTTGTCAAGATGAACCCCTTTCTGTTTATTAGTTCTGGCCGTTTTTCCGATTGCTTGCTTCAATCTCATTCGTTGTTGAATGGGTTGAATGTAGAATCAATCGTTCGATCAGGCTGGAGCAGCTCATAGTGGGTGGTTCCTTTACAATCCCACCAAATACTCAGCATAATCTTTCGAGGCATCAATCCTGGTTTTCCGACAATTTTTTGAGTTTCACCACGCTTGGACCATGATATTTGACCCACTTTTCATTTTCTGTTCCATACGCTTCAGAAATGATTCGATTTCATTTCATTTCAGCAAAGAATCGCAGATGCTAATTCGCTCCATTAAATTTTTTACGGACCATTCATGTGGTACCTAAACATCGAGCTTCTTTTTGTAGCCAGCGTTTTTTAAATGGGTCAAAACCGTTAAATGATGAATGTTACGTTTCTTAGCGATGTCATGGCTGCTTATATGATGGGCCTGGTCAATCTTTTCCATAATTTCATCGACTATTTTAAAGATAGGTCGACCAGAGCGAGGTGCATCTTTCACATCGAAATTACGGAAGCGAGCGAACCACTGTTGTGCTACACGGACTGAAACAGCATCGTCTACGTAAACTTCATAAATTTCTTTCGTGGCATGCGTGGCATTTTTCCCTTTTTATACAAAAATTTCAAAATATAGCAAATTTTTTCATAATTTTTCCTCATTTTTGAACATCTGTAACTTTTGTTTCAGCTTCTCGGAATGTAATTTTTTTTTTAGTTAAATTAAGATTAAAATCTCACCTTTCCAACATTATATGGTATGACACTGGAGATATATGAACGACTGAAACCAAATCTACTGATAAAATACGAAACGATGTTTTCGACTACCCAATATACATATATTACATACATTGATATTTGACGCTAAATATCTTGTAAACGCTTAACTTAATCGAAAAACATTTTTTAATCCACAAAAAAAATTCTGTTTTTTACCCACCCTAATACATAGCCATATATACATATATATATGTATATATATTTTAAGAATAATAAAATAAATTATATTTTTGATAAATATTCTAATAAGTTTTTCTTACTCTATTTTTGATAAATGTATGTATTTCGTTGTGTTACGGCAAAAACTACTTTTTGCGTATGTTTTGCTTCTTCATTCTCAATGCCAATGTGCATTTAGCCTTAATCAATTGATAAAAAGTCTTTTACATGTGTATTACTTTGTTTTGTTTAATTTTCATTTTTTATTTTGTAAAAATTATTTGTTAACCTAGGAAAAAAATTAAAATATAGGTAACAATAAGGATTTTGGTAAAATTCTAAATTTAAATATTTCGATTTGCATGATTTTCGTACTTAATTTCAAATACAAACTAAATTATTTGTAAACATCTTTAAATATATGTATGTATGTATGTATGTCTTTTCACTTTCCTCTGTACAGTTTGTAAAATGTTTGTTTATTTGGTTTAAAATACCGTTAACTTCACTACACACACGCTGTTATTTGCTGATTTTGTGCCACTAACGGCTTTTACGAGCACAACACGATGCTTTATTGTCGGCTCAGCAGTGCAGCAATCAAGGTGAATATCAAGACGCCCAACGAAACGCCAAGCGCGCTGCTGCCGTTACAACTGTTATTCGAGCAGGGTACGCACTTGCTCACTTCAGTGCCGTTATTCTGCGCCTTCAGCTGACCGCAAACGCTCTCCATAGTGGTAACGCGCGCGCAGCCACGGTCCATCTGCGCACTGCCGTTAACTGGAATAACAAAAATAAACACATACATTTATATAATATTTTTCATTATTTAACTGGTTGATTTCAGCAATCAGCTGATGCGCAACTCACCTTTCTTTTGTACACTAAAGCAGTGGTAGGAGTAACTGTCGCCAACTAGCGGCAACGCTTTGGATGCTTCATGGGCGACAGTACTCTCGGTGCTGTTATTACCAACAGTCACATCAATGAAGTTATTGCCGACGGTCACTTCAGTAGTGAGCAAAAAATCAGCAGCAATGGTGCCCACATCAGGTGGTGTGGGTACGGTTGTTGGCGGACCCACAGTGGGTGCTGTCGGCACTGCTTCGGTAGTGCTGCCTTCGGTGGTTGTCACCTCGGTATTGCCTGTGGTTGTTGTGGCGAGTGTTGTTCCGAGTGTGGTGGTGGTTGTGCTGTCCGTTGTTGGCTCAGCTGTTGTGGTCGTGCTGGACTCTGTGGTGGTTGCGAGTGTGGTGCTGCTCTGTTCGAAGAATTCCGCATCGCATGCTACTAGTGGTGTTTCTTTTGTAACCTTCACACAATTCTCGCAAACATAACACATGAGTGGTGTGGTGGAGGTGACTGTGGCGCTGTGGCATGCTGCGGAAGTAGAGAGTGACATGGAGAGTGTTAAAAGAGAGTTTAGTTTACTTTCTTCATTACAAAAAAACAGTTGTACATATATTTAAAATTGTGCTCATGTAAATAAATTTGTCAAAGAAAATACTAAAGAATACTGTGGTGAGAATTTTTCAGAATATAAAATATATTTTTTAAGAAAAATTTGTTATATTGCTTTCTTAAAAAAAATTTTTTTCTCCGAAATAATAATTCTCACTGAATCTTATGGTTCATAATGTGTACGTCATAATCCCCACGAGCGCTTATGTGGTGAAATTTTCCCAAACTGAATAATATTCCACGGGGAATTTTTAAGTTTTGGCAACATGTGTATTCACTTGCGATTTTGGGATTTTTGTTATCGAAAATTGTCAATGCTGTTTTGTGGTTTTCACGATTATGTGGTTTGCATACCTGTTATGTGCGATCAAATATAAAAAAAAAAAAATAACGGGAAATAAAATTACGCGCTGAGGTCAGTGATAATAATATTTACAAAAATTTAGAACCACAAACTGTTGCTGCTTGCAAATTGCTCTCAGCGATAAAGAGTTGTTTATCTCACTTCCTCGAACTAGCACAAGTTTGCCGCAATATTCACAAAGAATTCGTAAATTACATAAAATTTTTTTGCTAAAATATTTAATATTTTGATAATTTTATTTATTTTATCACATGGACTTCCTCCGAGTTTTATATCATTAGCTATGCCTTTATGTATTTACTTTTATTCAAATATGACATGCGCTGAATTTATTTCACGTCATTCCTTATTTTATCAATATACATATTTTCAAATTGCTTAACACTTTTATTTAATTTAAAAAGTAAAGGAAAAAAGGGAAAGCATAATTTCTTTGTCTCCCTTGATGTCATGTGGGCTTCCTCCATTTCCTAGCCATCTGTTGATCTTCACTATTATCATGACAATTTTAACAACTGTCACTCTTGCTTTGTTTACCACCAGAACGTTGTGAAGACAAAGAACACAAAGAAAAGAGTTAAAGGCAAGCAAGGCGCATTTGTCGGGTTAAATATTTGACTTGCAACAACAAAGAAGTAAAGGTACATAAAATCACACATACAGATGTAGGTATGTATAACCTCGTGATTGACAGCTTGGTTAGCGCAGATTTTTTCCATAATGCTTTTTATATATTTTGTTTTGAATTTGATTCTTGGTAAAGTACTGAGTTGTCGAAAGGTTTGCATAAAAAGTACCGACTATTGTTGAATAAAGTTCGTTTTTTAACATGACCGTTTCCAAAAGTATACATATGTTTTTATATACTTTCTTCACGATACCAATTTGTTATTGTGAATGACAATTGTGTCTACTCAAAGCAGTATTTAATATGCATATTAATTTTTTAATCGAAAATCAAACACGTTTTATAAATACACGAAAATGTGGTTTCCAGATATCAAGTGGAAAAATTTACTCTTATACTTATAATAGTGCTTAGTACTACACTATAAAATATAAAGTTATTTGCTTTGTTAAGTATATTTCTAACATTCCAGTTTATTTATAGTATATTTTAATTATTTTATCTTAAGTTGAAGGCTAGCAATTACTTGAACATAAATTATTATTAATTTATGCAGACTATTCATAGTAAGTGTTTGAACAATTTATTTCAGTAGATGTATTGCTGCTAAAATTTCCCCACGCTTGAATTTAACTAATAATTACATGTATATTAAACGCTGTAAATATCGCGTAGGAAATGGTAATCTGTATCTTTTACTTTAATGTAATATAATATATAAATTAATGTGCCAGATTAAAAATGAAGTGTTATATTAAACACTGAATGGAAACAGTTAGCTTAGAAAAAAAAGAAGAAAATGTGAGAATCAGGCAACACCACTAAATTATGGGTATAAAGTGGCTACACATTACCGCTTCTCTTATCACTACTGCTACAAAATTTCAGTGAAAATAGAGTGGCACATAGAATTTTGAAAAAATGAAAGTAAATATAGCAGAAACTACAATAATCTAAGTAAATGTTAATAATTCACCCACATATTTCAGTTGCATGCTTTGGTAAACTTTCTTTACTTTTTGGTAATGTGTCAAATGTATGAATTTTCTTGCTGGGTATGTACATATTGCATGAGAAAATACTGTTTTCGACATATTGAAATATATTTTCGTTAGCCACTATTTGCTGTTACAAAACATAGTAATATGAGCATGTCTTAATGTTTTTTTCTTAATTTTTTATACTGTATCTTTCTCAACTGCCATTCGTTACAAATAGGTAAATCTCTAAAAGGCAATTGTATGGCAATATAATTATTAACTTGAAACGCTTTGCAAGCACTTTTACAAAAGTTGATTGCCAAATGCGAATATTGAGTGTCAAACTATTTTTACCTCTCGCTTTGTGTACATATATAGTTCAATATATGTATATGTATATGTACATGTGTATATACAAACCAGCTTACATATGAGTGCTAATTTTTATAGGTACATAAAATAAAAATTCACTTATTTAAATAAAAAAATGTATTTAAGTAGAGCATTTAGTTTTGAACTATTTTACATTAAAGAAATTTGGGGATGTTACATAACCAATATCGGAATGCCGCAAAATTTCGGGATTACATTTTTACTACTATTTTCTTGAATTAAAAATATTATTTTTCTTCTTTTTTACTGGCGTACATTAAAAATATATGAGAGCAGTGTTTCGGAATTCCGCCAACGTAGTACCGAAATTTCGGTTACTATATCCTTTTTAAGTGAAAAATGAAAGTGTGAAAATTTTCGGGATTGTATTTTTACAATTTTTTTTTTGCTTAAAGAACATTAAAAATTTTAGAGCACTAAAATATATATGTAACGTAAACAATGCTTCGGGTTCCGGATGTTACTATTTTTTTTTATAAAAAATAAAAATGCATTATCGGACATTTCGGGATTCGAGAAAAACAATACCCTGATCCCGAAAATGTTTGGGATCATAGTTTTACTATTGCTTTGAAATAAAAGTGTTAGGGTATTAAACTTAAAGCAACGTTTCGGGATCCCGCCAACGTAATACCGAAATTTAGGGTTGTAACTACTTTTGTTTTTTTTTTAATAAAAATTCATTATCGGAAATTTCGGGATTTTAAACATACAAAAATGTTTCGGGATCCCGTCAATGCAATACCGAAATTTCGGGTTTACGATGCTACTATTTCCCTTTTATTAAAAAACTGAAATTGAATTACAGGAATTTCAGGATTTTGTAATACCAATATCGGGATCCCGAAAAATTTCGATGTTATATTTTTACTATTGCGGTTTTTTTTTAGAAAAACTGTAAAGTTTTAGAGCATTAAAACACATGAAATGTAAAGCAGCGTTTCGGCATCCCTCAAATTTTACTATATAGTACGTACATATCCAATTTTTATTTCATAAGTGAATGAGAAAAACCTTCCTGCCGCCGTCAAAACATGTTTATTATTATTTTCTTTCGCGTGTCTTGCAGCACGGAAACATTTACTTACTATTCTCACACACTCCTATAAATTCATATAGTATATTTACCATATATGTTAATTAGTCAAACAGCTTAAGAATTAATCATGTGATATTAGGTTGTTTGCAAGTATATAGGCAAGTATATAAACAAGTGGGCTTATAGCAAATTTGTTGCCGTTTTGCCAAGTAGTGTCTAATAGCTTGGGCAAATATGTCAGTTAAGGTGAATATTTACAAATCTACTTGACCATAAATTCATACACATATTTATTTATACATTTTTATTTTGCATATGTATTCATATGCATATAAATATATATATGTACATGCGTACTCTCGATCATAATTCAATTTACTGCAATTCACCAGCCATTGTGTTCGTAGGGTAACATTTAATTAACAGCTTACTGTTTGTTCGCAGATTATTCTGACTGACTCTATATAATATATGAATGTATTAAATATATTTGCTGTATTGCGAATTCCCCACATAAAGCTAAAATAGTTGCAGCACTTGCAATTGATTTGTTTTGAAATTACCAAGAATCCATAACTATCTAATAAAGTTGTTTATGGTTTTTCTCACTTTCCAGTTTAGCTTTAAAAATCAACTTTTTAGTTGCATCAATTTGCATAAAATTAATATGGGTATGATGGAGTCGCTTCTTTATATACGATAGAAACAATTATCTTACCTAAACTATTTGATTTATACCAGTTTGTTTGTTCTATTCGCCACTAATCAAACTTTCATGAAGCGAATATTCTACAAAGTAACATTCCAAGAAATATGTAGTATTTATGTAAAAAATTGGCGCAAATTTATGGAAATATTATAGAAATGGCTCTATTGAAGTTTAGAACTTAGAAAATTCTGGTATATCGTTGCTTGAACTAAGAAATTCCTCACATTTTTACTAAGTGACTTTAGAAATGATAAATAAAAACTGTAAGCGACCGTTTTTTAGACTATGAGTCTAATAGATCAGAAGTGGTTAGTCATATTGCTATTTCAGTCTTAAAAAATGAGGCCATATCTTCATATGACGCTGATTTTGGCTCTTATCGTTAGATTGAAGTACGAAAATATTTCAAATTATTTAATATCTTATTTTTATATTTCTGCAGATCTACCGATAAGTTTTGCAACAGCCATGAAAAACATATGGGTGGTTCAAAGCCAGGTCAGGTCATATCCCTTCTAAACAACGACTACTCGAGGAATTATATATTGTACTTTTTCAATAACTTTCAACATTTATTCATAAATAGATTATTGGTTCATTTGTTAGTATTAGTTTATCGTAATTTATTGTGTTTACAACTAACTGAGGAACTGACAACGACATCTATTGACAAAACACGAAAAAACTTTTTCGACTACCCAATGTTATAGTACATATTTTCAATTTTTTATTGATTGTGGTTGGTGAGTCAAGATTAGTTTTAGGATTCCAAAACTGACAGATTCGCGAACGAATTTTCCTTATGCCGCCTCCGTAGAGTAGTGAAAAGTATCGGCATATTGTAACTTGCAAAAGTATCTGGAATTTAGCATTTTGAAACCAAGAAACGGAAACGTGTCACCCTTACGAGAATCTAAAAAGTTCATGGAACTCTCAACCGCTCCCTTAAAACTTGGCTCACTCACTTTCTAATATTTAATTTGTTATCGGCGGCACTCAACAGTTTGTTAATCGTGAAAACTAAACCTTTATTGTCATAAGTTCGACTTGTGGTGAAAAAATGTTAAACCAAGCACCACGTAACCTACAAAAATCCTTTAAGTTTTCTTTAAAAAAAAACTTAATCACTTATTGTACTTAAATTACTCGATGTTTTACATTCTTAACCCTTAGTTGATGCACATCGAGGTCTCGCATAGTAAAATTTGCACAAGGTGCTTTAAAAACACATTTGAATAATCATTTTTATGCTCTTGAGCTATTTTATTTACACAATTTTGTTCATCTTTTGTCAAATATTGCCACAAATTACATTTTTTTAAAACACTAATAAAACAGTTTATTTTTGTCCAAATTAAATATTGTAAATTACCTTGTACTATGCACGCAAGCAACAGAAAGCCCGTCAGTTTTCTTATACTTTTAATTTGTTGCATTTTGTATTTATTGTTGTTTTTTTTTTTTATTAAAATATGTTTTCTTTATTAAAGTAGTTAAAAATGAGATTTTTCTTCAATTAATTTTAATCTAATTTATGTTAATTTTTGTATTTTCTTAATCCGTTAAAAGCAATCTATTTGCTAGATCTGCTACAAGAAATGTTAGGTGACACGAGTAACACATGCGAACGCAAATAAAATACTATTTCGATCCTTATTTAAGAGCTATTATCCTTGTTACTTCACTTTGCTAGTGCGCGTCAACCGCCGTTTGTGAATTTCAAAAATTAACTGAAAATCTTGTGATCCCATTGAAAGTTTTTATATGTATTTCCCGTGCTTTAAAGCGTTCTCAACTCACTGCCATTGTCAGCTGTCCAGCGGTGCAGTATGTACGAGTGTATGTATGTATTATATGGCCGATCGCAGCGCGCCATTTACGAACCTTACTGAGCGCAACTGCCAGCTACTGTTCTACAGTAGCCCCCGCTTCCGCTCACATTCGCACCGTTTACACTCTACTGTCTTTTTAGCTCTCTCGCACGCTCTTTTTTACTTCAATTGAGCGCCTTGTGGCTGACACTCTTCTCGATGCTGAGCTAATTTTGGCAATTATGCATATTAACTGACCCGACGGGGTAATACCACTTTTATTATTATTATCAGCGTAAAAATTATTTTTGATAAAAATAAAATTAAGTAAAATTAAAAAAAGCGGCAACCGGCAGTAAAAGTGAAGCAAAGTGCGGCAGCGGAGCGTAGCGCGGCGGCACACAGTGAGCGATTTGTTAAAAGCATGAAACAGCTGAGTTTTGGTTAAGGCTTCGGTACCGGTAATTTGTTTCGTGTGCATGACAGTGGCGGCGGTGAAAATTCCCGCCACCGCAAATAATGCACAGCAGAAACAAATGCAAGAATTCTGCTTGTTGTTTGTATTGTTTTTTATTCTTTTGTATCTGTCTGTGATTTCTGTTTAACTTATATTATTTTATCTCACAATCGCTGTTCAATAAGACAATATCGCCAATTAATTGTGACCAGGTTTACCGCTGTCTCGGCTTCCAAATGTCAACGAACAGATTTTGTCAGTTGACGCGTTCTCTCATGTGACGTAACACACGTAGTTAGCTTGCATATTATGTGACTACCTGCGTCCAACGTTCAGTGCGCAGCTGTGCGTCATGCGATTTGCAGAACAGAAAGCAAAAACAAAAGGCCAAAGAAGCGCTTTTTAATTTTTGAACTTTCTTGATTTGCCAACTTAACCATATTTTCTGCGTTTGGACGATGATCGCACTGTTAGAAGGCGTACTGACAAGTGCGTAGGCTTTTAGAACCTGTGTTGGTTAAAAGTGAACTTTGTTATGTCTGTTTTTAATTTAAATTAGAAAAAAATTAAGTTTACATATAGTGACATCGTTTGCGCGAAATTTGGTATGGCGTGTATTGATTTTTATAAGGGTGCAGAGAGAGTCCAAATGTAAAATAGATGATAAGATGATTTCAAAAGTTGTTAGAAACTTAAGGCAAAAAGCAAAAATATTTCTTTATACCTATGGATATATCCATATATCCAAGCTAACCAAGGAAATTGATCCACGGAGGTCGAATTTACATAGTACTATTTAAAACTGAAATTTTTCTTCCAAGCTAACCAAGCAAATCGTACTAAGTTAAAAATTTTTTCAAGAAATACGGAGCAGTTTGTGTAATTAAATATTTAATGATCAGTTACTATAATCCTTGAGAAGTTCCGGTTAAAATGTGTATAATTTGTTGAAGTTATTGAGCTCAATACATCAACCATCGAATTTATGAGTATGAATGAGTTGGATATTTCAAAATTTCGTATTTTTCGTAAAATCGTGAAATGCGATACCTCTTTAAACCAATATCGAGGCGTTATATAAGTAGTAGCTTACGAAAGCTTATGAAAATGCCATTATCCCTTTTAAACTGAAATCCTTTTATATATTGGCCAAGTCACTTAAATTGTATAAAGACCACATTAATCATCTACTTCTATCTGATTTAACCTCACATATTAAAATATTAGGTAGCTTGAACCTATATCACTCATGTTCTGATCCTGTGATTAAAAACATTTATTTAGAACAGAATATGTAAATTTAATATAATTTATTTTTAATCTATTTTAAGTACAGATTTAGTATGTAAAATTTATCGGTGATCGATTGCCACTATAAATTAAAATATTTAAAGTACCTCGCATTGTAAAAAAAATCGCATTCATTTCATAAATTAATCTTCTGTAAGTCTACAAAATATGCATATCTTATACTGAAAGCGTTAGCAACATAAACCATTGCCTTAAGACATGGATTTTTTTCTTACCGTTATATATGATGTGGGTTTATAGAAACGTAACTGAGATTAGTCGTATGTGGGTACAAGGAAGTCGACAACATTGTGATTTTAATTTAGTTTGGCTACCATAAAGACATGTATTAAAAGGAAATTAATAAAATTGTTTTTAATAATTAATTTAAATATTTTGAGATTATAAATCTGCGAGCTGAAGCGCTAGCCCCGAGCTTGGCGCTTTTGTCATGTTTTGAAACGGATAGGATATTACAATCGAAAGATAACAAGGGTACTGAAAGGAAGAGTGTTGCAGAGATGGATAATCTTCTCTTGGTATGCAGATAGAGAAAACATATTAAGCATCTAAATCTTTTATTAAGCACATTGTGAGCGCTGTTCCACATAATTTTACATGAGTCCACGTCAACGGCAGATTTCATAAATCTGAGTATAACTATGGACGCATGCAGGTTTCTTGATTTTACAATGGGTTTACAGCAGATAGAGTTTGAAGAAGTAGTTGAGATCGTTATGACACGGTCCATACAACGAAATATTTAGACTTTACTTGTTCCACAAACCTTTATCAAAAATACTTTTGAATTGACCACAATTTCCGCCTCAATTATGGTTTTAGTCAGGGAACGATCTTATCAGTATTAAAGCATCAAAAAATACAGAGAAATTCATGTTTGATTTCATTAAAATTGTAACGAAATTTAGGAGTATGCTAACGCAAGAATATAAAATTTCCGATAAAACATCTGAAGCTGCAAGTATATAAGAATATGTGTGGTAAATTTCTCCTAAAAAAATTTCTGATTCAAATGTACAGAAGCTCAAGTACTACATAGCATAGAAAGACCAGGGTTCAATCGTTGACTTAGAAATTTGATATTGTGGAATAAAGAGAACAGAGTTATGGCCTTATCTTTTTGCTAGTAATTTAATGAAATAAATAATCCTTAAATACCGACATGCAATGGCTCTATAGTTAACATGGTATAACTTGAGTAGGCGTCCCCACCAACATACCCATCACCAAATTCCCTAGTTACAAGCTGATAAAAACAACTTGAAGCCAGTTGACTAAAAAATTAGCCAGAAGGTAATAGGCAGTGGTGATAGTTAGTATCGGGTGATTTTTTTGAGGTTAGGATTTTCATGCATTAGTATTTGACAGATCACGTGGGATATCAGACATGGTGTCAAAGAGAAAGATGCTCAGT